TGTCACAGTCTAAAGCCGGGCAATTTAGACACTTCCCTAGTAGCTGAGATATTCACCTAGGCTAAGGTAAGCAGAAATCTCTTACCTCTGAGGTGAGTGGGTTACCCAGCTGGATGTTACCTGATAAGACAAGCCAGTCTGCTCACTTGAGCTCCCTATACTTAAAAAAAGTAAACTGTAAATGGAAGGTCTTAATCTCTGGAGAGGAAAAGGAAGGAAAGAGGACCGATTTAAGACTAAACTTAACGGGCTAAACTTAGTAACTCCTCACTCAGTTCATAAGCTTTCTAAACAGTGAGCCTTCTAACTCTCCCCATTGCACGTATAGCATTTGTAGGCATCCAACAAAACGTTCTGGGTTCTTCCGCTAGGCACTAAAATCCTTTATTGGAGTTAACCTAACCTAGACAGCAGCTCAGCAAGTGAACCAGCTAGGCTTTGCAGTCGCTCTAGAAGTCTCCTCATGAATACAGAGCTTGAAAATGCACTCCAAAGGGCAGTCAGATTGACAATGCTATAAATGCCCCTTACTTTATTGCGGGAGGAGTTACTAGCGAGATGTGTCAGGCATAAATACTAGTTCTTTCTCTTCTGAAAGAAAATGGATTTGATACCTAAAATAAATCTGACTGGGGTAACATCTTTACTTCATGTGGGTAAGTGACCCTGCCATAGTGTGAGGTCGTGGTGAATCTCTACTAGGAAACTGTGCTTAGAGTATAAACTGTGTTTGTATTACCATGCAGCCTTGTCAGACCATTGTGACCTGGTGGGGCAGAGCTCTTCAATTTGGAGGTGGCGGGGGGGGGTTCAACTGATCTTTAGAGTTCACCAGTCAATTGCAGAAAACCCTGTTTCTATGCTGTTTCTATGCTGATACTTTATACACCCAGCTAACTGAGCACCTCTCCACACCACACTTGTGACAGAATTCCCATTGGTTTCCATAGGATTGGCATCAATGCCATAAAAATCCTTCTATTAAGAACTTTGTGTTCAATAGAAGGGCTTAAAGAAAAATAAAAAAACTACCTTCCACCATAACAAAACCAGCTGCTGATAGAGTTTTACTGTAGTACTGCTAGCCAATATTGACAGGAAAGTTTTCCAATATTAATAAAGAAAGTGTTAACAACCATGAAGGCTTCCAGTTCTTAAGCCTTCTTTCCAGTTAGCCCTAATAAAGTTATCAAAGGACAGCTTCAACTTTACCTGCTGATTAGACTCCGGTACTAAGCAGGAGACACCTTTGTGGCGATCCAGGAATCGTTCAAAGTCTTCATCACTGATGAGAAATTTTTCTGCTTCTCTCAGAGCATCCTTACCACTGTTCTCCCCTTCGATGAGCAGGCACTGGAATACCTGAGGACAAAAGGCATCTAATGAAGAGTTTATGTTTCTACCTGCTTTGAGGGTGAGACTTCCACAATTATTAAAGCCTTCAGTTATCTCTGTTTTTAATTTTTCCTGTTAGCGGAGCCATAGTGAGCGGAGTCAAGTCAATCTGTATTCACAGAGATGTTCACCTTACTGGTGACTGTGATGACCACAGGAAAAGACAGAGGAGACTGTCCAAAACCAAACTGGAATACTTTCTCTACTTAATAGCCTCCTTTTAAAGATGAAGTCCTCACATTCATTTAGAATAGAGGTGCCTTTGCCACCAACATGGTCTGTAAACCCAGAAAGAAAACTAGCATAGGAAACTTGATAAAAAAATTTAAAATGCATGTCTTCCTTATGCTCCTTTAGTGGGACCAAGATTTAACCTATAGTGATTTTTTTTTCCTATTTCCTATTTCCTATTGCTTGTATATCAATTCAAAGCTGATAAAATTTGTATTTGTTGCTATTACATTTAAATGGTGTAAAATTAGCATACAGGAGTTACATGAGTTCTATCACCCTAGTGTGTCCTAACAGCTGAGAAACTATTCCTCAGGTTGTCCCATATTTATAAGGCACATGATCTTTAGCTACTCTCAAACCAATAACATAACATAACTAACACGTTTCTAATAGAGTATTACTGGTTAGTATATATTACAGTTATGATATTTCCTATAATAGAATATTAATGTATAGTGTACACTAATATAATGCCAATATTAACTCTAACATATCGTTGTACACTAACATTTCTTCATTCTTTCTAAACTATGACATGTTTTCATTCTATCTTACCTTTACTATCACAAACAATCAGACCCATATAAGCTGAAATAGTAATTCCCTGGAAATACCACAACAGAAAAGATTCTTGACATACTGGGATCCCTTTAAGTACAAAAAGAGCTAGAACTTGCCTCAACACCATATAGCATTAATAACAACTCTGCTTATAGCACCCCGAGTTGGAGGTGGAGGGCTAATTTAGGTAGTTAAAGGTTAAGATAATTCCAGAATTTAACTTCAGTATTGGTTTTCTCTGAGCAGAAAATAACCTATGATATATACTACTTTACCTTCCAGCGCACAGGATTGAGTGCCTTGATCTGTTCATTCATATCTTCCTCAACATTAAATCTGTTGATGACTGAATTTATTTTGAAAGCAACAGCATAATCTCGGCACCACTGCCTCAGTTTATGCAGATTTTCCACATGGTTCTTCTTTCCTTGACCACGGCCAACTAGAACATTGACTTCCTCATCAAAACTATCACAAGAAATCGCCAATATGTCTAAATATTCACCTGTAAACAAGTTTTAAAAATTAATTAACATTCATGCCTTCAGGTAAAGGTTGTCAAGAGTCTGCCAACTTTATGTTCCCCATGATCTGTCACAAAGCATCCTGTAAATACAGCTCTGTGGAATCACACTGACCACAAAGCCACAGCAGCAGCACCTTCTGCATGCCCTCCCCCAGCATTATGGACATACTCTGATTTTATGTATTATACCAAAGAGGCAACATTACAAACTGTGCATGTTCGCAACAAATAATTAACAATGTTCCACTAATATTTACTTTTTGTTTACATTTTTGTAAGCGACCCACTAACAAGCCATTTCCCGTTGGAAAAAAAGAAAACCTAACTAACTAAAACCAAAGACAAACAAAAACCTTGCTGCGAGGCCGCACTGAGAAAGCTCCCAAACCAAGTCAGTGTTTCTGTGCATGTCGCCTTTCCTTACCGTACGTCTTGAACCATCGCTCTCTAATCATGCTGCCGTTGCTCACGATGCTGACGCTTGGCAGCCCCAAATCCTGTTTGCAAAACTGGACCAGTTTGCCCACAAACTCGCCTCTGTCCTGCAGAAACGGTTCTCCCCCCGAGAAGTTTATTTTCTCCATTCCTAGGAAAGGACCAGAGACAGGAGGATGCCGTGATCCTCTGCCTACCTGTGCGCCCTGCCCTTTCGGGCGGCGCCCGTGCCCGGCGGCGGCGGCAAAACCTCTCTATAACGCCGCTAGGTCCTGCCGGACTCACCCGCCGCCTTGAGCATCGCCAGCCCCCGCTTGGCCTCCTCCAGAGGCAGCACGA